CCCCAAAACCCCAAAACCCCAAAACCCCAAAACCCCGCAATCATATAATTTATTAAATAAAGAAATATTTAAAAGTATAATGCTTAAGAGAAATTAAAATTATTCTATGATTCAGAAATGAACATTGGAGTGTTTGATAATTGCAATCATATTTGATCTATAGAACATATGTCCAAATGTCTTTACATTGTGCCACACACTTATCAACTCACTTATATCGTAATTCTTAAATCTGAAAACCATTTCCCTAGAGATTGAACTTTTATCTCCATCCTAACTATCCTTTTCTCTCATCAATTTCTTTAGGTTAAATTTATAATCTTTAAAGTATGGTCTCCTTCCAATAGCCTAATAAAATTAAAAACCTTTAAATTACCTAGCGATTTTGAGAAGCCATAAATAATAGTAAAATTATATCTTTTCCTGTGTGCAAATTCTTGATGGTACCATTAACTACATTGTTGAAAATCTCTGCCCATTAATCTTAGCTTTCTTTCTTGAAATCAGCAGCGCCACCCATCAATGTTACATTCTAAATGATGTGAGATGCACCTAATTTATGAAGTAATCTCAAACAGGATTTGATAACCTAAGTTCCTAATGAAAATCCAAGAAGAGATATTGACTAGGTACTAAAAGGATGACCTAAGGCTAAGAAGATAGCTAACATCTATCCACATACTTTTGCGTTTTGTTTTGCTTTGTTAAAAAGTTTATTAATTTCAATCGCAATTGGAGATAGCTTTCTCACTGTTTCTAACTTTGCTATCAGCCGAATGATTAAATTGACTGCTCTGGGCTAAAATAGATCAATTACAAGGTTGACTCCAATAGATGCAGCAAGCTTAGCAATAGCAGTTGTGAGTTGGCTTATGGTAATTGATTCCCACTGAACTCCAAAAGATCTGGTATCATAATCTTGAAGATAGTCGACTAAGCCTTTCCATTATTCAGTAAAATCATCGCCTTAACTTAAAAATCCAGACACTGCCAGCTTTATGTGTTTTGAAAATCCCTTATTCTGATCAATATTTTTGAGACTTAATACAGGAACTTTTTCAAATTTTTTTATCAAATCATTAAGATGAACCATAGCTTTTGTAGCAATGACTTTGTCTCTTTCTAAAGCGTCAATATCATTTGGATAAATTAAATTTAATCTCCTGTTATGTATTTGAGTATAGGATTCTTAATCACTGTGAATTTGCATTAAAAGCTATTAAACATCTAGATTATCATAGTCTATCTCAAAAAGTTCTCTCATTTCATTTTTATCAGAGGTCTCTTTAAGTGGATAAATCATTTGATTCTGGTGAAAAGATACTCTTTACTCTATCAACTAGATAAGCTATTAATGTTTAAAGACTCTGACATCCTCAGACTATATCTTCGAGTACAAAGACTTTAAAAAGCGCTTCATGATATCTCGTCTATATGGAGCAAGTCTTTAGAATTTAATATCCCCTGAAGAATCAATCATATCAGCTCCAGCTAAGTAAGTAAAAATGACCAATTAATCCATGGTGTCCTAGCTATCAGAAATCTATCGCAAATTTTCTATCCAAGTCTCATGCAGTCCTTTAATTTCCTTGAGTTTAAAGTCCTATTGATAAAATGCTTCTATTTAATCTGCCAATATCAATCTTTAGCTAGAGGCTATGTGGTTTAAGATATTTTAATTGAATTCCTTAATCTGTTAAAATCTCTTTGTACTGCATGGCAAATTTGACACGAAGAGGCAATGAAGAATGATTGATAATTCATCTAGATATTTATCCTCATGAATTATTGGATATAGCACATCTCTGGTAAAGTTATCAAAGAGGCAGACTAACTTATTCTTGCTTTCCATTATAGCTTATTTGTATAAGATATCATGCATTATTTATAACAGATTCTAAAGAGAATTGCTAGATTCTTCATCTAATACCTAAGTAAGATTGTAGATATAATGCCCATAGAGAAATTACTTAAAACCATTATCTGCTAAAGCATCTTCAACCCCCATCATCTCTTGAATCTGCTTTAAATATTCTTGCTCAATGGTCTGTTTAATAATTTCATAGGTCTAAAATACTAGCTAAGAAGCCTCTTTCTTCGACAAAGGTAGCTTTTTATCAGATAACAACTTTTTGAATTCTTAGCTAATCCTATCCTTCATGACTTTTTCAATTTAAATGCATTTGTTCTCAATTGCGGTATATAAGTCTTTATTTTTCTCAGCAATCTTTAGTCTTAGCATTTGTTCAGCTATCTCAACAGAGACTTCATAATTAAAATCTTCATTAAAATCGAGTTAAATCTCACTATTTTAGATTCCAGAATCTTGTTGATCAATTATGCTTCTTGAAATGGTAGTTTCTTCATCACCCCCTGGAGTTTGTGATTGATGAAGCATAGTTCTTTGATTCTTTAGATTATCTTTAATCTCACCTAAAAGTTATGATCGAAGTGCTTGAATTTCAAGAATGAATTCGCAGATATGCTCGGGCCTATATTGCTGAATAATGTTTCTCTTTAATTTAGTAAAGTCTAGTTATGAAACTTTCTCTTCTATCATTTTCTCAATCAAGCTGAATTCGTTAAACTCTTCAACCTGTATTTAAGCATTTTCTTATTAAATTTCGCCTTTATTTTTCTTTTGAAACTTAGACAGAATACTCTTCTTAAAATCTTTAAGCTTTTCCATTTTAATTTATGACTAAATTTAATTCATTCAATAGCAAGTAATTTTATAATAAGGGGTTTTGGGGTTTTGGGGTTTTGGGG